GGGGGGGGGGGGAATCACTTGCCAAGTAAGCAACAGGCAGTTCCAAAATATTGCACATAGAAAGCAACTAAGAACTAAGTATTGACGCAACGATACAGTATTTCACTCTATTTGGCATAAAAGGGTGTTTGTACTGAAAGATCGTGTAATATTCAAGTTGTGAAATTGTATTTCAATTTTGTGTGTGTGTGTAATTATCAGAAACAGTCTTGTTTTATTGGGGTACAGTGTACTTAATTAAAATTAGTGCAAAAACAACAAATAAAAAGAAACTAATAACAAACAGGTAGGGTTAGCTTACTTGAAATTAAATCAATACTCTACAAATACAAATGGTAAAATATTTTATTGTTTTTCTGAATCTTACATACAGACCTCAAGTTCACTAGTAGAAAAAATCTAAGAAATTATTTAATCATAAAATTATATATTGATTCACTAAAAAGACTTTCAACAAGTACATATTTGCACAAAAAATTATCAAGTAACACTTCAGTTGAATAGCACCACATCAGTTGTTGCCATCTGTTGAGCACATACCATAAGTAAGAACACACCAAACAATGTCCCATTGTAAAGAAGCACCACAAGTAATAAAAATGTTATCATAGAGTAATAAACAGTAAAATAAGGCTGCAAACCTAGTTTACATCATAATCAAAGGAAAGTCTTACAGTACATTAGTCCTACATCAAATTAAAGTAACATCATTTTCATGGTCTACCTTCTACATTCAACTATAAACTGAAAACTTTCAATTTTTAACATTTACAGGCATTCATTTCTGGTACTTCACTCATCAAAACACTTAAAAGTTGCTTCAATTTTCTACAGTTATAACAATTTTCGTATTGGACACTTTGAAAGGAAAAAAATTAAGAATGTTACGTTAGATTACACATTACTATTAACTGACTTGTGCATTTAACTATAGGATTCATAAGTTTCCATAAACCCATTAAGAAACCAAACCAGGAGTTATTGTGAGGTATATTTTGATTAGAATGGTTTCCCAAACAGATCAGAATTTTAAGGTTTCACTTTCTCACATCCAAAGGATTACATTTTTATCCCTAAGGGAATCCCTGATAATGATAAATAAGTCACTTTCATTCTGTAAATCATGTATTAAGTAATTTTTGTTACTGTTGTCTCAGTACTGTACTTACTTCTGGATATTTTCAGTTGAGTTGAAAATGTATATTACTTACTTTTGAAACCTATGTTTCTCAGAAGCTTCTTCAAATTAAATGTTATTGTACTTTTATAGAATTATAAATTTTATTACTTTCAGAATATGAGTGTCAATTAAAAATGTGTTAATAATGGTCAGATTTAACCAGTGACACCTGAATTAATTATTGTACTTTTATTGAATTATAAATTTTATTACTTTCAGGATACAAGTGTCAATTAAAAAGTTGTTAATAATGGTCAGATTTAACCAGTGACACCTGAATTAATAAGTGACAGAATCCTAATACAGAAATTTAATTAATCAATGATACGAAAGTCTGAAACGTATCAATGATACGAAAGTCATATAGAATCTGAATTAGTGACTTAACATTAATGCAGAACCTCAATTAATAAGTGACAATAACATTTAACATGGTATCCACGTTAACAAATGATACTACTATCAAATTCTTAAGAAGTTAACAAGTGATGTACTTTTTAATCTTTGGTGTCAAACTGTACACAAATATATATACTTGTAAAATATCCATAATGATGACTATATTTACGAGAACAAAATAGAACAATGGATTTCATTTTGAGGTGAAATAATACAACCTTTTTGGAAGAATGCTTTTCACTTCACAGAACTTAATACAACATCATATGTTGCTTGAATTAACATGTGATTTATCATGACCATACCATTACAAACAAACAAAGAAATTTACAGGGTACCAGTGGCTTCGTGAACACTTCAGCCAGTCAGTCAACCTCACAAGTGTGGCAATAGAAGGAAAAAAATCTCGCTTATTGTGTCTGACCAAGAGGAGCATGTGAAAGATCACAAATTAGTACAGTAATCTTTGTGTCAAAAGTTAAATAAAATAAAGTATGAATTTTAGTGTAATTTTTATACTCGTATTTTTTCCTGAAACAACAACCAGGTTAATTGTGGAAGACAACCAAATTTCCACTTTCTTTAAGTTTACTATCATTCTTGTACTTCTAGAAAAATGTGATGTACTGAATAAGACATTAGATTTTAGGTTTACAAATAAGAAATTAATTTTTAGGTGTATTAACCCCAAAATTTACTGGATACAAACTACAATGATGTTATTTCTTATTATACAACTAAACTTTTGTACAAGATATTCATCTTTCTTCTTCTCAAAATCTCTCTCTCCTCACACAAGTTTATTGAAACATTTTACTTCACCGCACAAGATTAGTGAAATGCTATTTGATCATATTCATACTTTTGTCTTATGGTGAGATGTAAAACAAACATTGAAGTGAATGTGATAGGTAAACTATGAAAGTCCGTTGAAGCAATTAAAGAAATACTTAAGATATGCATTACATTTTTATCAACATCAGTGACCAATGATGCAGAGGTTTTGAAGTTGCTTCTGACAACATAAAATGAAAAATCCCAGGTCACACCAACTCCCAGATTTTTCCAAGTCCTAACAGTTCTACAAGATTACAGAAAATTTGCATAAAATGGGATTTTTCACCCAATATCGTTTAACACTGAATAAAATATACATGTTGACCATATTAAATGACTGCTTAATAATTAGTTAACGAATAATTAGATGTTTCTTTCAAATATTTGTTATATGCTGTCATAACATTAAGTTTTATAGTTTATTAAAGATGTTTCCATTTTTCTTGCAGTCTTTAAGTGATTTTATAGATATTCAGCATTAAGTTTGATAATCAACGAGTTTTCAACAAGAGATACAGGTAACATGGATGGTTTCAAAGAATATAAAAATACTTTAAACCTCTTTCCAATCTCTTAACACAGTAAATTGACTTCCTAAAGGAAATATAAATTTTAATCTAAAACAGATATTCACATATTTACCTTTAGTCAGGGTTAATGAAATCTTGATACAATATCCAATACTATGAGACTACAACCTTTTTAAACTTATTCACAATCTACTGCATTACAACACTTATGCTGGTAACCAAGACAACCCCTCCTGTAGACTTACCAGCATGAATTCTACCTACGCTGATGACCAAACTAATCAGTCGTTCTTGTAAACCCATAAAAAATATTTTAAACAACTTCATCACATACTCGTAACCAAACAACACTTCTAATAAACTCATTAACAAAGTTTTACACCAATATCCAAGTTACACCCTCCCATTAAATGTTTACCATTGATTAACCACCCACATTAATATTCTAGTATACCTTATACTATACAGGAATAGACTTTAAGATATAGACGTACAATTATTCATAATATGAACAATGAATGAAAACAAGAGTTATATTCTGAGAAGATTTCAAGTTCTATCTTATAAAGTTGATACTACTTGTAGCACGTTGATCTACGGAATGATTAGATCTATTCAGCTAGTTTTAGGATACTACAATCAGTTTACTACAGTTACTTAGTAGATGTAAAAATCTTATAACAAATAATTCATTATATTTTGTATATTTTAAAAGACTGGTTTCAATATTTGTACACTAAATAAATAAAATGAATGGGATGGATAAAATCAGAATGAACTCATGAGTATAATTAACCCATTGAATGCAGCTGCTCTAAACACGTACGGAATTTTTGCAAGCCAGACTCCGTATATGGCACACTAGCATTCAACTGCCAGAGGCAGACCATACCCTAAACGGCAAATCAGCAGTCAATGAGTTAATAAGAAAACCTGCAGGTACTAAACTATCATTATATTTACATTTTGAATTTGTAACAAAAACAACAAGATGTACATCACATCCTTACGTGACTTGAAAATAAGTTTACAACACAACATGTAGGATGCGAGAAGATCAATATATTACGTGAAATGGAAATACTGGATTGTACCGAGATCCTTACAACAAATACTTACAATATACTAATGGTGCCACAACTTCTACATCTGTCCATTTTGTACTTGTTCCCAATACGGAGGGTACCATCATGCATGATTACACACAGAACTTAACTTAGTACAACTTTATATCCATTTACACAAATCATCACCACTAGTAAAGCTTACATTCTGCTTTGTACATGATGTTTCTACAGACTGAAGTCATCAGGAGCACCCAGTGAAGGACTTGCGCCTGGAAAATGTTGATTTAAACATTAAACACCATATAACATAAAGGAGAGGAACCACTCGCGCTTAGTGTCTTAAGGGAGAGGAACCACTCGCGCTTAGTGTCTTAAGGGAGAGGAACCACTCACGCTTAGTGTCTTAAGGGAGAGGAACCACTCACGCTTAGTGTCTTAAGGGAGAGGAACCACTCACGCTTAGTGTCTTAAGGGAGAGGAACCACTCACGCTTAGTGTCTTAAGGGAGAGGAACCACTCACGCTTAGTGTCTTAAGGGAGAGGAACCACTCACGCTTATTGTCTTAAAGGAGAGGAACCACTCACGCTTATTGTCTTAAAGGAGAGGAACCACTCACGCTTATTGACTTAAAGGAGAGGAACCACTTACGCTAATTTTCATAAAGGAGAAGAACCACTTATGCTTATTGTCTTAAAGGAGAGGAACCGCTAATTTTCATAAAGGAGAGAGGCACAAACAAGAGTAGCAAACAAAGTGGACAGGTAAGGAGAACAACAGTTAGCACACAGATGAGATGCATGTTACAACAGATATCAAGAGGGATGTGTAAATGTTAGAATAGTTATCAGAAATGTGATACATTACAATAGTTAATATAAAGGCAAGACAGAGGTAACAATATTTAACAAGAAGGTGTGATACACACTACAATATTTTAGGTGAAAGTGAGGAACATTCTAAAGCAGCTAATAAAAGTATTAACTAAACCATCACAAATCACTCATTTCTCAGACTTCATTAACCCTTTCAAATGGGTGGGTCTAACTATGCATGTCACTGTCTTTTAGCAAGTTATTCTCAAAAGTTAATTAAAATACATTTTGTTTATGTTATACCAATTAGCATAGCATAAAATTGTAGCTAATAATCCAGATTTTAATAGTATACAAGTTAAGTTCCTAATTTTATAAAGCAATAATTAAAAAATCTGAAATTTCCCCTAGTGTGAGAAACATGACAACTCTAGGCATCCCCTTTTCTCTATTTTATCCACCACCCCTCCAATAACTACGAAATTTAACGTAAATTCTTCACTATAAAATCGTAATTGCTCAGAAAAACCATATTTTTTTTTATAGCCTTAAATCTTGTTTGGTTACAAAACCATCAAATATAAAATCATACACCTCTTGCCACATCAGCTATCACATCCACTCTTTCAGGATTTGTTAATATATCTCTTTCATGCTTAATACTATATTATGTATAACTAATAGGGTTTGTTTGTTTTTGAATTTCGTGCAAAGCTACACAAAGGCTATCTGCACTAGCCATCCCTAATTTAGCAGTGTAAGACTAGAGAAAGGGCAGCTAGTCATCACCACACACCACCAACTCTTGGGCTACTCTTTTACCAACAAACAGTGATTGATCATCACATTATAACACCCCCATGGCTGAAAGGGCAATCATGTTTGGTATGATGGGGATTCAAACCCACAACCCTAAGATTGCAAATCAAGTGCCCTAACCACCTAGCCATGCCAAGCCCAACCAATAGGAAGCCAAAGTTTTCCTCTATCAAATGACGTATTATATTATCTTGTTTACTCTTAACAAAGAATTCTTAATTTCTCAGTTATTACAAGCTTCATTCCCATGGGAAAGATAATGACTAGCTTGGATGAATTTGTAAAAGGTTTTGATGCACAGTTAAAAAGGCAGAAAAATTGTGATAGGGGAATTGCCCGCTTTTTGAATGTTATTATTTTATATTCTTTGGTGCATTATTTAATTAGATAAAAATTATTTAGTGC